AACTGGCCTATGCCAATGTATGTTTACGCGTCTGACGGAGCCCTGGAAGTATCTTACTTACTCCTGTTTCAGTGGAACGGACTACTCCGTTCAACGGCCCTTGCTGTACTATCTGCCGCCCAATGGTCATGACCCGAGAGGATCACTGTTCAGTTCTCGCGACGCCCATTTTCCGAGATCAGACCGAAATCGTGGCCAGTCACTCTCACTGAGGAGCAGGTCGAGGCGCTAGATACCATTCAATTCCTTTGCGAGAAACTAGCGGTCTCTATACAGATCAAGAAAGGGGACATAGAGTTCGTTAATAACATGAGCGTTCTCCATGGTCGAACGGGTTACGAAGATGGCTCAAAGCAAAGGTGATAACACAGCTTCACTAAGTACAGAAAATTCTTATTGGCAGTTCCACTGACGATTGACCAGTCGCCATCTTATTCGGCTATGGCTGCGCGACCCAGAGAATGCCTGGGTGACTCCAAGCCAGTTGCAAAGTCGCTGGGACAAATTATACCATCCCGAACACTCAAACGGACCCGAAGCCTACCCGTTGGAACCCCCGCTGCATTAGGCTGCGGGGTTCAAAGGGATGTCTGACAGGCGTTAGATTTTCACAGGCGTCTGACACTGATTCCCTTTTGGTTGGACCTAGCAGTGAGTTAATGGTTCGTGGCTTATATCAGAGTACTGCTTTGAGCATTTCCTGTATGTCTCTGTGATCATGGCATCTGCTGCGGATTTCCCCTAGGGCCCTGAAATGCATCTTAACTAAAAGGGTGTGCAGACAACCATTCTACTAGTAGTAGAAATAGTAGTGGAATAATAATGAACCTCAATCACAGCGGCCATATGGTCTAGCTGTTAGAGTGTTTCCTAAATGGAACTGTTCATAAAATACTTATAGTAAGGCACATGTATAATGCCTGTGGTCCAGACTCTGGACTAGGATCCATACCTTTAGCCACTGATAACATACAGATTGGTACGCCTTGCATTCTGTATTAAAGTAGAACGATGACGTTGATGATTGCATCTCGCAATTTTGCCCTGGTCCCCTTCTGGATGTATGCATCCCAACTTATAAATTTGAGAAGTCTGAAAGGTACGCATGACGATTGTAACGCAAACATCTATTTCCAAATCCATGATCGCGTCAACGAATTATACAAAACTCTCGAAAAGACTATCGACTATTAGATAATCATAACGGGCGACAGAGGAGAAAGGCTCCAACTTGCTCCACGAAAAGATCTTGGGGACTGGGATTCAAAAGACTTTGCAACAAACGAAAACCCTACATATCCACATCTCGCAAACTTGAAAACAATCAACAAAGGACGAAGTATATCTCACAATGGCCTTTGGAGCTGTGTCACTGTTCGGTAGATGCTTCAATGATTTGAAGAATCTGTCGCAAAAATTGATACATGCATCGATAGTGAGACTTTACCATCAAGCGTTATCTGGCCGCCAGTATGCAGGACCTGAGCAGGATTATGGACTACTGGGACATCCAACAATAAATCCCATCAAAACGCACAAGGACTGCACGCAGATCTATTTTAACGCGGCCCGAAATGGTATAGGTACAAATTCTTAAGTATCAAAACTCTAGCTACAAAGCAGTCTTTGTAATACAACTGCAGTTCTGGATGGACCAGGGACGAACTTTCGAATTGATGTCACAACGTAACCTTCGTCATATCCACATCTCTTCGAGGGAATGTGCTATTTTTCCGTCATTGTGGAGGTATAAAGCTGGCGAATATGCACTCTACCCTCGTACCTTGTCTCTACGACTCTCCGTGGCAGAACCATGACCAGATGATTCGGGGTTCTCCTATGGATGGAATCCAGGCAGCATAATTGGATATGGATAATTTACCAGAACGCCTGTGCCGATCATGTTTCAGCCAACAGTGCTCCAGGATAAACCACTGACAAATATGTTCAAAGCTTGCCAGGTGATCGGTTCCCGCGGATCCCGAACATATTAAGGATGGGCAAAATATGACCGGGATTGAGCAGCCCCTTGCCTGTGAATACTGCCTATTGCATATGCTTATTACTCTTACTGCCTGAACGCGGCATCCTAGAGTGTTCGATTGTTATCAGACAAGGGGCCGTTGAACATGAATGCTCTAGGTATAACTTATTGAGGCTTGACAAGTCAGGCAAAGGGAAGCCGTCAATTTGGGATATCCTTCTACAAGTCTAGCACCAGACCCGCAATGACATTAATTATAGGATAGATTTATTCCGTCGCCAAGAATACAGTGGAACCTGCGAAATCGGTAAAAAAAGTTGCTTGCAACATGCTATAAATATGGATCAATCCTCTCTACAGAGAAATCATGTTGGTCTTCGCTCAGCCTCTCAATATGACGCAAAAGCACCCCGAGTCCCCTCCTTTCCTCGACTTCATTGTAACACCAGAGACATCGCAAGCATTTCCGAAGGATCACTGTGGAGTTCGGCTTACAAGAGTAAGTAATTGTTGCACTTCTAGAATGCCTAATTGCCTTGAATTGCAGGACTAACACACTTCCGACTATAGTCTCCAGCCATCAAAAACGCCCCTTTACCTGCCGATGGTGCCGGAAATGATTCATGGTCCAATGTCCTCCTCGTCATCCTTCTGATAGCAGTGCCATGGTTCATTTCCTCTCAAATAGGCGGTGGTCTAGTCTTCGCTCTCTTTGTCGCGATATGCACTGCAGTCCCCATTCTCATGGGATACTGGAGCATCTTCTCCGCCACATCCCCTCGCCTCAATGAGAAGGTCAAGCTACCAGGTCGTCCAGTGGAATATTATCTCAACTTTCATAAGGAGAGTGATCGCCTCAGATACCGTGGTCGAAGAAGGATTCCAATGGAAATATTCTATGAGAAGTACTTTCGCGGCGAGGTGGAGTTCAAACACGGGGATTGTTTGGACAACCTCGAGTACCGTCATGATTGGGCCTCGTTCAGCTTCTCCTGGGGCGTATTCAGGCACTTTTTGTTTGGTTTTGTACCGGAATTGATTGTCCATTCTCGTTCTCAAGGTAACTCAAACTCAACTTCTATGAACCCATTCCCTACTCCTCTTCCAGCAGCAGATCTAGTCAAGTATGTGCAGCTAATCCGAAGGCAGATGAGGAACAGGTAAGCGGCAACTATGATCGTGGCGACGACTTCTACGCATGGTTCCTTGGACCTCGTATGGTGTATACGTCAGGTATCATCGGCGATGTTGACAAGGAGGAATCGCTTGAGCAGCTCCAAGACAACAAGTTAGCTGTTGTATGCGAGAAGATCGGTTTGAAACCTGGGGATTCTATGCTGGATATTGGCTGCGGTTGGGGAACCCTGGCTACATTCGCGAGCGTCCACTACAATGCCCATGTCACCGGTGTCACTTTGGGTCGCAATCAAACGAAATGGGGCAACACGACCCTTCGAAATGCCGGCATAGCAGAGTCACAAAGCAAAATCCTCCGCATGGATTATCGCGACTGTCCCCGGATCCCTGGGGGATACAAGAAAATCACTAGCCTTGAGATGTCGGAGCATGTGGGTGTCCGCCATTTTCGTGGCTTCCTGCGTCAAGTCTATGACATGTTGGATGATGACGGTGTCTTCTACCTGCAATATTCAGGCCTACGAAAGTATTGGCAATATGAAGATTTGATATGGGGGCTCTTTATGAACAAATATGTCTTCCCCGGAGCTGATGCAAGTACTCCCCTAGGCTGGGTTATTGATCAGCTTGAGGCTGCTGGTTTTGAAGTGAAAAACGTCGACACCGTTGGTGTCCATTATTCTGCTACGCTCTGGCGTTGGTATCGCAACTGGCTGGCCAACCGTGAGAACGTCATGGACAAATATGGTGCAAAGTGGTATCGAGTGAGCATCCAATCTCCTATTTCTGAAAGTGGGCTCTAATATACTCTAGATCTGGGAGTTCTTCCTTTCCTGGGCAACCATTGTCTCTCGTCAAGGGGGAGCAGCGTGCTATCAGATCGTTCTCATTAAGAATCTCAACTCTACCCATCGGGTGGAGGGAGTACCCACCCAGTTTGGCATTTCCGGTTCAATCAAGTCGGCTTTTCAGAGGAGCGGTGCTGTGCTCAGTGCGTATATCCCGTGAAGATGACTCGTTTGTCCCAATGACTCCTCGGAGGGGAATGTTCAGCCCGACCTTTATGGAGTATCCACGCAAGTAGAGTGGTGCATACTTGCGAGCAGTACTAGGAGGAACATTGGATGCCTTACCTCAAGAAAAGGTGTTTCTGATGTTTCGCATTTTCAAATACTCTCTTAATGTAGCCTCAGTGGGGCTGTTCACTGCCGTCGGCTTCTTCTGCTTACCTTTGTCTCTGCTATACTCTGCCTACCCCGAGAGCTCCCATCGAATCAATCCTACTTGCTGGCGAATCCTTTTGATAGACCTTCCGACCATATGAGTACTCGCCATATCATCAAACTATCATTAGATTTTGACGTGTCCGCGGTAGTCCTCGAAACCCATTGAACCGCTCATTCTAGCGTAAGCTCTCCCATTTCTAAGCCCTGTATTAAGATCAAGCAATATAATCCGAGGTGTCTTTTCGGGGCCCGCGTGCCCCGGATTTAGGAATCTCTTACCACGTGTCCTTGCGCGCGGGTCTTCTCTTACGCATCTTGATACTCATCAATAGCCTCGCAGCCGCGGCTTGCCGCGGAGCCGTAAGCGGATCCGGTCGGTAGCTTTGAAGCGCATCTCACGCTGCTTGGGATTTTCACCGCGTTGGCTAGAAGGTTGCACAGAATGGAAGCTGTTTGCTTGTCAGATTCGACCCTACATAGGGGAATCATGGCGACTTTAAGGTGTATATAACGACAAGTTCGAGTCCTCTGTGAAAAGATACATTTGACATCGCTTCTCTCAGACTCCTTTACTTCCAGTATTATTCAACGCAAAAATGACGAGTTCCCTCAGATCCCCCTAACCAGTGATTTTCATTGGTGCCGCTGGCGAAATGTGCCGGTTGGCTGTTGAGCGTTTCGCCAAGGCAAGTGATAATGCCCTGATTCTCACTGATATCAACCTCTCCACGCTCGAGACGACGGTCGCCAAACTCAATCTTCTAGCTTCCCGCATCTCTACGAAGCAGTTGGATCTCTTTGACCGAACCGCTCTGCTCGAAGCAATCAAGGGCGCCGCACTGGTTGTGCTTGGTGCAGGGCATTATACGCGCACTTCGGAACCCGTACTTACCGCGTGTCTGGAAGCAAAGGTGCCTTACCTTGATTTTGATGACGATGTGGAGAGCACTCAAGCCGCTCTTGCTCTCCATGAGCGTGCAAAGGCGGAAGGCGTGCCGTGCTACATCGGATGCGGCGCTTCCCCAGGCATGTCCAACGTGATGGTTCTTGATGTCACTGCAGAGCTCGACACCGTCGACTCAATCGACATTTGCTGGAGTGTCAGCGACGGAAAGGGCAAAACCAGCAAGGCGGTCTTGGACACTTGATGCATATTGCTGCTGGCCCCTGCCTCACATGGGCAGACGGTAAGCCGACAATGAACGAGTCCTGGGTTGAAACGCCTTACGCGCAAATGCGGGGCGGGGACGGGGAAATGCTCCTCCACGAGACTGCCCATCCGGAGCCAGCTACATTTCCACGCCTCTATCCCAGCGCTCGCCGAATCCGCTGTGTTGGTAGCCTGGACCCTGACCCGGTTAATGGTATCGCCAGGGGTCTTGGCCGCGCCGTCCGCCGCAATGCCTTGTCCATGAGTGAAGCTGTCGATTTCCTGTTTCATATGGCCAACGACGAGTCCTCCCTGGCGGTCATGGGTGAGGGATTTGGTGAAATGGCTGCGCAGTTCCGCGGTGGTGACGTCACGATCAAGGAGCTATTTCAACTGGTCGCCCACGCGAATCGCAAGCTCAGCCCCTTCCGGTACGCTCTGTGGGGGATGATCGAGCAGATTTGGACTGGGGAGTGTACGACAGGGGAGGTCCTTAGCTTCCTCGTCGACATGGCTCGGCGCAAGATGGCGGCAAATGGCTCCGGAATGCTTGTTCGAGCCGTTGGCACACGCAATGGTCTCCCTGTCTCGATTACCAAGCGTATACCCAAAGCAGACGAGCACGCGTACCTTAGCAAAACTATGGGTACTGCAACGGGAACTGCATGTGCAGCCTTCATGGTCATGGCGATTGAGAATGGTCTCAGGCGTAATGGCGTCTTTTGTCCGAAAGATTGGGCTACACCGGTCAGATTTTACGAGGCCTTGGAACGTGTTGGCACCCCCAAGAATGAAATCATAGAGAGGGTCTAATGACTCCCATGCAGGTAGAGCTAACTCATGTTTGAGCAATAGGAGATATGGATTGGCCTACCTAGTTTCTTTCTGTTGAATTATAAGATATGCAATGGACACGGAATCACGTAGAACATCATTGATGCTCATTCCTCAATTGATCTCGTTTGTTTGACATATCTAAGCGAAGCATCCTAACCACGGCTTTCGCGAAAGAGCCGGGTGAATACTATTTGACTGTTAACTGGCGCAGAATAGCTCCTATTCTCTTCTCTAGATCACTCCCAGTACTGTACCTGAGAAACTTTAGCAACTTCCTGTTGACAGATAACGTCTTCAAGTACGATGCTATCACTTGCTGGAGTGCTTCCGTTTCGTGAAGCCATTATCTTCCTAGAGTATTACCTTAATCCAACCCGCCGCACTTCAAAAGCTTAACGCTCAATACCTCTGCACAATCGTTTTCCCTCTTGCATTCTACTGTCCACCTCTCGTAACTCATAGCAAGGAAAGAGGTGGGATAATGGTGCCTGGCAGAAGAGTGGCATGGGCGTTATGTTTCTAGCGATCCCTGCTGGTGAAAATGCAAACACCGATCTGTGGATCCGCGGATCCGCGCTTTCGATTAGCTTTAATGATCTACAGTACTAGTACTATTGACCGCTTGTTTCCTGGATGCGTCTAGTTGAAAAGTGACGCTCAAGCTTGCCTCATTCCATCCTCAGTAGTATCCGTTCCCCGGCCTATATCAGGACCCCTCATAGCTGTCCTCATGGGAGCAAATCAAGTGCTCCAACTCAACAGTCTCTCTCTTGGGTAATTTAACCATCACATTCTCAATATACCGCATTAAACTGGCTTGCCCAAAATGCCGAAGAAATTCGACGTTGCCGTGATTGGGGCCGGAATGGCGGGAATAATCGCTGCAAGGGATCTCAGTCAGAAAGGCCACTCAGTCGTGCTCCTAGAGGCCCGTGACCGCATTGGAGGACGAACCTACACGGACCACGCGTTCAACGGGGAACTGGACCTCGAACTGGGAGGAGGCTACGTTCACTGGACACAACCACACGTTTGGCGTGAGCTGCAGCGCCACGGCATGGCCCTCAAGCCGCCCATGGAAGGGGGCAGGCTCTACTGGCTGGCCGATGGGGCTGTCCACTCTGGTGGGAGCGAAGACTTGTATGGGATCGTAATCCCACTAGTACAACGACTCTTTGCAGATGCTCGAGCTCGGTTCCCGATGCCGTTCGAGGTTGATCTTCTCGAGAACCGCGAAATCAAAGAGGAGACTATTGAAGATCGCATTAATTCGTTGAATCTGTCTAAGTACGAGCGCGATGTCCTGGAGGGAGCCCTAGCAGGCGTCATTCATTCATGCAAGAAACAGGGGATTGCGCAGCTTCTGCAGGCGGTGGCAACAACCTTTGGAGATTTCACGGCCTTTTTTGAGACAGCCGGATCTTGGGGTATCCAGGGAGGCACCAAGCAGCTCATCAGTGCCATTATGGCCGAGTCGAATGTTGAGCTCCGGCTTTCGACGCCCATACGTGCCGTGACCGACAATGGCTGCGGTGTTACTGTTACAACGCGCGAAGGTCAGCTAATCAACGCCTGGTCGGCCGTCGTTGCACTACCCCTGAACACCCTCAGCGAGGTGAAGATCCACCCAGACATACCCCCAGCGGCACGCTCGATGATTGAGCGTAGGAACCCAGTAATGGCTCACAAGGTCTGGGTCCGGGTGAATGGCGAGATCGAGTCGTTTTCGCTCGTTGCGCCGCCCGGGAAGCATCCCATCAACGCAGCCAGGTTCGAAAAGCACCATAACGGAGACACGCTTATCATGTGCATGTGCGCCGACGCTGCCGCTCTTGACCCCGCGGATCTACACGCAGTCCAGGCAGCCCTGCGCAAATTCATCCCGGATATCGAAGTTGTTGATACGGCCTGCCATGACTGGGTCGCCGACGAACTCTCCAAGGGGGGTTGGATGATGCACCGGCCTGGGACTCTAACGACGGGCCTACCACTGCTCCGGAAGCCGCATGGAAACATCTATTTTGCAGGGGGCGACGTAGCAACTTGGGAAATAGGAATGATCGAAGGCGCCATGGCAAGCGGCGCCCTTGCCGCGCGGGATTTGTCCATCGCGTTGAGCAAGGGGTATAAGCTTTGATGTCTGTCCTGATATCAAGCGGCACATGTTTTTGACTTTAATCGCAAACCAGTCTCCTTCATCACATATTGTAGCTAGTATCCTTTCAATCAGTGTTTATCAAGTGTCGTTGGACCCAGATCTCCGAGAATTTAACGTCTGAGAATAGATTGAATCACCGCGCCGGCAACACCATCAATCCATTGCGCAGTTCACTGTTGCCTTGTAGGACCCGGAAGAAGAGAGGTTCTCAAGAAATTACTCTGTTTCTCTATGCTCTATGCTATGTGCGACAGCTCTCCAGAATGCCCCAGTACGACGAAACAAAGTTGAGAAATTTGCGCGCGAGGGCGAAGTAGACATGTTATCTCATTTCGACCACTCCATGCCAGCCCAAATATCACCCCAGCGAGCAGTAAGCATGTCTTTCCAGTAGTATGACCGACGCTGCCACGGGGGACGATCGCCTGTCTTTGGCAGCACGCTCTTCGCTCGTTGGACGTACGTTGACCTCAAGTAGAGGGACGGGGTTTCTCTCATTCCTTTCTTTTCTTCATCGCTGCAACGAGGTACAATCATGCTTACCGAATCCAGTTTCATCGTATTCAGCAAGCGGCACGCCAGCTGAGCGGTTGCGTCAGCTCCCAAAGTCCAGCTAGCATCCACGTATCCAATCGCGAGAACCAAGTTGGGCAGGTCCGCGAGCATGGCACCCTTCCACATGAAATGGTCCGCAACCCGGTATGGCTCACCATCAACGATGACCTCGATGCCGCCAGCCAGGGCCATTTTAAGGCCCGTCGCGGTCACAATAATATCTGGGTTGAGTTCTTCACCTGATTTGAGTCGGATAGCTGCCTTTGTAACTCTATCGATGACCCCGGTCTTGACGCTGCCTTTACCACTACGCAGACAAGTGTAGAAGTCACCGTCTGGACACACGCATAGTCTTTGGTCCCACGGATTATATGCGGGAGTAAAGTCGGGATCGAGAGACATGCCCTGGGGTAGTTCTCGCTTCATCTTTTCGAGGAAGGATTTTCGAGCATGGTTTGGGAACCATTGGCAGTAGGTCACTAGCAATAGCGACATCAGAATCCATTTGAAACGGATCATCGCAAACGCCAAAAAGCGTGGAAATATGAAGCTGATGGTTCTGTCGATCACATTCTCCTTTGGAATCGGGAGGATATAAGTGGGTGAACGTTGCAGCATCGTGACATGGGATGCTTTTCCTGCCAGTGCTGGCAACAACGTGACGGCCGTGGCGCCGGATCCGATGATAACGATGTCTTTGCCACTATAGTCAAGGTCCTTGGGCCAAAACTGTGGATGTACCACCGTGCCCTGGAAGTCCGCTATTCCCGGGATCTCAGCATGCATGGGTGTTTTGTAGTCATAGTAACCGGTCCCGAGCATGATGAACCGTGTGCGTAGGACCTTCTTAGCAGATCCTGGGTTGTTCATGGTTATATCCAGTGTCCATGCTTTCGATGCCGTAGACCAAGAGATCCTGTCAACACGGTGAAAAAATTTGATTCTTCGATCGATTTTCTCCTGCTCGGCCGATTCCTTAATGTAATTGGAAATCATTGACCCTTGTGCAATGGCTTCTTTCTCTCGCCAAGGACGCCACTCGAAGCCGAAAGTGTGAAGATCCGAATCGGACCGTATACCTGCAATGTAAAATGGATCAGACAGTGAGCTTTTCAAGGCCTGGGAGGCTGCATTATCTGCATTTGTTTACCGGGATACTGAAAAAGACTCCATGTCCCGCCGATCTCATGGCGTGCTTCCAAGATACAATAGTTCAGATTCGGGTTTCGCTCCTGAAGTCGGTACGCGAAGTTGACACCAGAAATTCCGGCCCCAACAATCACCACGTCGTAATCAATATCCTGCGTGTTGTTTGAAGGGCGCATGTTTGTAGCAGCAGGGAGTTCAGGGGGGAGAGGCTTTCTGTTCAAGCTTACACCGTCAAGTTTAGGGCAAGGGACATTCCTTTATTTTGTCCCTGGCGATGAACGGGCGGTCAGATATGGCCATCCTGATCTTCCAATCGTGGCTAGACTTGCCCTTCTTCAATGGTGATATCTCAATCGAGGGTCGACCCGACTCCGGCTTGGAAGTTGTATTACCGCGGCACCGAGGCGGACCCGCCGCTGTTGTCAAATGAACCTGACCTTCCTTGTTTTCCATGTCCAGAACATCCGGCTTATTGGCCCATCCGGGGCCCCATCCTTTGCCGCTTCATTGTTTTTTAGGTTTTCAGCCACTTTGCTGGACTGCCTTTACCTTGACGAGGATGAGCGGATCCCGCGGACGCCGTTCAATATTTGCTTGAACCCGACCGATTCGCCCAGCCTAACCTGTCCATCCATCCTCTACCCACACTGCCGATCCATGTCCTTTAGTCTGCTACAGTCGCTTATCGGCAAACCCCAATTTTGAAAGGGAGAAAGTGCGGGGTTATGGGAACTCGGTCGTCTGGGACACTGGCAGCCGCGGATCCGCCGATCCGTATTCCTCCCCCTACGGTTAAGTACGAGTGGCTCGCCCGTTCTCCAGAGCATGCCATTCTGCCCTACATCGATATCCCAGCATTTTTCCCCTTTTCTTTTGATGCAACAAGATGGCTTCCGAGCTTGTGAATGAGTACTCTCCCGATAACGCTCACTTTAGCCAAGATGACTGGAGCTTGATAATGGGCGCTCCGATGAGCCAGTTTCCACTTATGATTCCGCAACCCATGGGGCAGAGAGTAGGGTATAGTGTAGGATCCACTACTCCTGGCGGCTCCGAAATGGGTCCCATCAACACCTTCCCGGCTCCTTCTGCTACGAACGGAGCCGCGGACTGGCGAGAATCCTTCGAATCTGCGCTGCAGACGTTGGCCTCACCATTCGCTCACCAGTACACCAATAGCAAGGAGACTGTGGGTGCCTGGGGAGGCAGCAATACTCTCAACGCTTTCCTAGCCCCAGTTAGCCAGATTCTTGAGGATGATCGCCCCCAAATTCCGCATGGGTTGCTGCCCAGGATAAGAAGGTGCGCACGGAAGCAAAACCGTTGCAGTGACCCCTGCCGCTCGGCAAAGAGAGCATGCAATTTGCCGCCAAGGGGCGCCATCCAGAATCACAAGCCGTTGTTAACAGCTTGCACGACGTGCAAGGTGTGTGGTGTGGAATGCACGGTTACATGGCTTGCGAGTAGACAAAGCTCATGACAAGCTGGGAAAGGCCCTGTAACAAGGTCCTGCTCCCCTTCAGAGGACAAGCTAATCACAGACAGCCAAGGCATATTGAGAAATGATGCAGAGGCTTCTTCTGTACTAGGTAGTCTAGCCTCTATAGCAGCTTCAGAAGGAGACTTGGCCAGGCAAGCGGTATTACGTGAGGTATGCTTCCAACGACTATATCTCTACATAGATATTGTCGACATGCCCCTGGCGCAGTGCATGTCGCGGGAGTGCATGCCTCCTTGCTATTCCTTGGGCATTACTGCTCTCGGGCCATTGGGTGAAAGTGCCTATACTAGTCCCTATCTGGACCCTGTTCGATCGAGGATCGACCGCTTCTGGAATATAAGTGTGACCTCGTCGGGCTCCGAACATGCAGCGCCACAGATATTTCTCGCAGCAAGCCTCCTTGGTGCGCTCTTTCAGCTTTCCATGCCAACTTATAGCTCACGCCATGAATCCATAAACGAGGCATACAAGTGGGTTGCAATAGCAGCTGCGTCACAATTCACAGTCCGGGAGGATAACCCTCCCTGCATGGGCAGGTCGCATGGACGAGCGAGGGACATTGCCTTGGCGACCTGGCAAAAGGCGAAACAGATAGTGTTCGAAAACATTGCGGCCACCAGGTCTTTTCGTCTGGCACTCTGTTTGCTGCTGTTTGGCACTTTGTTCCCACCAATGATGCCCGAAGGGAGCAGCGTGCTTGAAGACGCGGCTTACACTACGCGAGAAGGCCTTCAGCGCCTTCAGATGCTCTGTGCTGAAGCTCGCGCACATTGCGTGCATGATCCTGACATGTCACGCCATCCTTCCTACCGGACAAGCCGAGTCGAAGCTGCGAGAAAATCTCACCCCGTTCAAATGTTGCCAACTGACGTGCGAGAATACATCCTGGAATTGATCGCTGCTGTTGAGTGGCTGGCGTCCATGTTTCACTCAGCGGCAGTAGTCTGCTCGCGAAGAGACACCTGTACCACACCTTGCTTTGTCTACTGCAACCGCAGCTCATACTGGACAATAGATATAACGCGAGAGCAGGGCGCTACCCGGCAGCATAAGCAAGGGTTTGAAGACTACATTATCGCGCGAGCTCAAGCCGACACGCACAGAGTAACCGCGTTATGGAGTCGCCCAATGTCGGACGATATTGTGGCTCGAGCCGTGAGTCAGGCAGGCTCCGTTGCCATACTCATATGGCAAACATTAGCCATCCTCATCCTGACATTCGAACAACTCCGGACAGATAAAGTGCAATATGAAGAACTGCATAGGTGCTACTCCGCAATGACAAATTTGATCGATGTTTGGAGGTCGGCCTGGGGCCAAATTGATCGCTCGGCGGCCATCAGCCTGCACCGGTCACGGCCCAATGTGCTACGTGGCGTTTATTTCTGTTATACGGATGTTGACTTCGCTATACTTCTTTTCTGCGAGCTTATCTGCCAACTGGGGTCTCAACTTGCGGAGCAGATATCATCATCGTCGACGTCATCACCGGCAAGGGAGCGGCTATGGAACGCTCTCAAGGAGAAAAGTGCCTGTCACAGGGACCAACGGCGTACGAGCGCAATGCAAATATCTCATCTGGCCATGGCAAGTCAGGGTATGTCGAGTCCAGGCTTCCAAGGCAAGAGTGGCCTAAAGGCGAACGTTGAAGACATTAGTGCGCACCCGGTAAGCAAAGACAGCCTCTCCTCCAAATTCAGGACTAACCAGTCCGTGCAGTATCCTACTCTGGTGGTGCAGGCACATAAACTTGCGGCCAAGGCGCTAGCAGATGAGATCCAATGCTCGATCTCCAAAATGGACGCCAAACGCATTCAGAGCTAACAGTTGGCCTTGAGAGCTGCATGCAGGGGTTGCAGCGGCTTCAGGGAGCTCTCGTGATGTTTCCGGAAATGAGCAGTGATATAGACCGGTTGTTCCAGTAGTGTTGGGTATATGTCTATATACAGCAGCTACTAGTAAAAGTTGGATCGAGAGGCTTAGGTAGCCTCCGATTGTCAGCGAATCATATAGTGGTTACCAGGACCACATAGGATTGTCCTTCATTCTTCGCCAATGGCCAATTGTCTTGAACCGCCTCTAGCCGTGGTCTCATCCTCACTGAGGGATTGTGGACTGAGCTTTCGCCTGTCCTTCTGATCTCTGCTAGAATTTCGTTCCGCATGTGTCCAAGTTTAGCCCGGCTCCGTTTAGAGCGCCAGGAACTGTAGGTGGGCAACATGATCTCAAACTGCGCAAGGATTCGCCGGTCCTCAATCACCTCTCAGCCTGCTCAACAGAGGCGAATTACTCCCAGCAGCTGGAGGAACAGTACAGATGAGGATCTTCTTGGTTTAGTTACTGCAAGGTCTGGAGGTGGGTACTGTTTCACAGTCATTCGAATTGAAAATCCTATACTACCGCTTGGACCTCCCCCATTCCATCCGATTTTCACTTCTCGAGTGGAAATCCTTTGCCATAAATATTACTATCTAGGATTACTCTACCACATACGACCATAGGGTGTGGAAAACAGGGCTTCCCGTCCGCTCAGCCGTACTTAAACCACACGCCGGCCAGTTAGTAGTTGGGTGGGTGACCACCAGCGAATCCTGGCTGTTGTATGTTTTTTTGCTTCTGTATTTAAGCCCACATATGAACAGGGTCAATTCTCAGGGTCTACTACATTCTAGAATAGCGGCGTGGTAGTGCTGGTGATGTGGGTGGGTTATAGGTCCTCATTGCCCCGTGACGATAGTGCCCTTTGCCACTGGCCAGAAAACCACCCAAGCCAGTCATGTTCGATTTGCTCATAATCAACCTTATTGCCGGTGAAAGATAGCTAATATTGATTGATTTTCAGAACCCTTTAGTGGCTGAGTTAACTCGATCACTACCACCACCGTGGCCTACATTAATCAGACATCGGAGAAATCTTGTTGGTGGAACCCAAATTTCATTCATATTTCGCTGCCCTTTTTTGGGAAATGAAGGTTGACTTTCACCAAAGGTTTTCTATTTTTTCTATATTTTCCGACGCATTATTTGAGAAATGCCTCTCGCACACATTGTCCTCAGACAGCGAGATCTCGAGCATGCTTCCTGCCTCTGAAAGTCCGGCCAGAGGATCTTCTCTTCCAGGATTGGGAGCCCCAATAAGCTTGACTATTCTGTTCGGTGTCACTCGCTACAGGTGTAGGTGCGATTTGAGAAGAGCTCTGGTAGGGAGCATATCCACAACATCCACAACATCCACAACCCTGAGGTGCTGCAGTGGGGTAAGTCCAAGCTGGGGAGGAAGACAGCGCGGTGGAAGACGCTCCGGTGGGGGGGACGGCAATAGTCGTAGGTGCTGTATCCCTGCCCTTGTAGAGGGCTGGGCCTGGGATCACATAAGTGGCAAGGTTGTTGAAGATATCGACCAGGATGCCGGGATCGGTTGGTGTGTAGAACTGGGTGGCAGGAATGCCTTTCGGTGTAGCAGTGCCACCCCCTGTCACCTTCAAGTTGATGCATTGCGGGTAAGCTTGCGCACCATTGTCTTGCCTTGCGTTGTGCAATGCGATGATCTCATGACGAAGAACATAATCGCCTGGCGCAATGTCGGAAGGGATGTTGACCGTCCAGGTATTGTTGGCAGCCATGAGCTCATCGCTGGCCCATCTTCCGGGGGACTTGCTGTTGTCGAGAAGACCAGCCTCTTCAATTTTGAAAAACTCAAGATTGGTCTTGTTCACAGAAGCGCAGCTCCCATTGCAGTTCGCAAGATAGCTGATGACCTACTCTGTATTAGCGTTCTGATTGAATTCGAAACAACTTCTGTTGCAACGTGATCCTGGAACCATCATCATCCGCTCCTACTCCCGAAACTTACAGGACCACGGTGATCTTCAAACCATCTGCTCCAGTGTATCGTCACCTTGCCACCGGCAGCCACCTCGCCAGCGAGAGCACCAGGCTTGGCATCTTGGTGGCAGATGATATTCGGCTGGTTGTAATCAAACGTTTGAATATAGGCGTCCTGAGTATCCGCGGTTGACCACGCAATGAGATCAGGGACGTTTTGTTCATGAGGGTATTGATCAACCAGGAATCCACCATAGGACTTGCCATCAATGTCGATACGATCGATGTGGCCATGAGCTGCGGCCAGACCAGCTGTGCCTAGGATGAGCCATGCAACTTTAGAGAGAGACATTGTTAAGTAAAGAGTGAACTTCAGTCAATGAAGTAAAGCGAATGATATGATAAGAAGAATGAGAGAATGAGGGAATGAGAGAATGTGTAGTACAGGATGAGGAAGAGAAAAGAAGATTTTGAGGGAAGAAGAAGGGGACTTTATATGTGCCCAAACATAATGGGTTCTTTGCAAATAGGCAGCACAAGCGAAGCGTTAACTTTGCATGTTCGCCCGCGATTCCCGCACATGATGATCGCCCTCGCTTGCGAGTGCATATGAAACATGGGCTGCAGGTCCATGCCATTGAGATCTCTTGGCTTGATTCTGCGCTTTTGGCACGTCAGACACCCGGTCTTCGCTCTTCGCTTAACTTCCTTCTCGTGCCTTCCACCAGACAGCATCTTGTTCGGGTCTCCAGGCAGCTGGCAGCGCATCTGCGCGTTCGAGTTCATGCCCATATGGACACATTTGTGGGATATCCTGTCATGATTATGTTGGTACTCCAGATTCTAACATTGTACATAAGATTATATCTCGATACATTCAGAACATGCAGTAGCCATGGCACGTCGGCAATGTTTTCAGCTCGGACCCAGTTTGGAACCTCGCTTACCATGTCGCATTAGCCATGGTTTCAGGTCGAGTCTAAGCTCCATACAAGCGATTTACTTAGTAGAATGAATTCAAGGATGCAATGATCCATTGTTTCATGTTTGGATCATATGTCGTATTTCGAAGAAATGTTGACGGGGTACCGGTTCCTCATAGAAGCTTATCATATGCCATTTACTGTGCATTGCTCATGCTGAAGGCGAGAGGAGTGACTTTTATGATCTAGCCTAGCCTAAGTAACGGCTCACTACACGATTAATACTCAATGCAAACAAATCATAAATTTCTCATGGTTTAAGCATACGTACTATTTTGAGTGTATATACTCTAATTGTTTTAACTTCCCGCTGATATGCGTGATATATCAAGCCTTCAATAAGGTCTTCGTTCGTCTGGACCCTGATGATCAGGAGAAAGAACTAGACTCCGAGGTTTCATATTAGTTAAGTCGGCTACGAGAAAAGAACCAGGATCTGCGATCTCGTATTGATTAACTCGGCTACAATCTCCTACGTAATGTCAGAGATGATTACACCTAGTAAGAGCATTAGCAAGCTGTTAACTACCGAAAAAAATAAATCATAGTGTCATGATCAAGGCTGCTGTAACATGGGAGGAAGAATATCTTATCATATAAGAGGCGACCAAGGCAACGGCCCATCCGGGCCTCTAAACAAACGGCAACCTACTCAGCTACTTAATTGTACCAGTCATTTCCATAGTTTATTATTCCGCTGGATAATCTGAAACTATACTCTGTAGAGGATGATGGGAAGACACCATGAAATAGCCAGTATAGGAACCAACGTGATTTGGCCGAAAAGCTTGTCATCAAGATTTCCAGCGATATTATGCCGGTTATGCCGGAGAACCCTTATAATTTCACAGTTAAGACTGTATAAAGAACGATAAAACTGCTGACCTTCCTAGTTGGGTACATATTATTGTCACCATGACTATAACCCCAGCCGTGCGCTAAAGACTAGCTCTTTTCTTACGCCCACTTTGTTTGACTCTGACATTCTGACTGCTGCAGATATATTATGTACAGTAAGCTAGAACAACTTGGACTTCTGTACGTACGATGTATAGAAAAAGAGGAACAGAATACATCACCTAATATTTTACATAATATTATTAGAGAATACTACCTTAATATATGATATATTCAACAAGCGAGCTGCGCACACCATAACATGCGCACCTCTGCGGTCGCTTAGCTTAGCTTGGTTTCAGCTTCAAGCTTTGACGGAATTTGTTTGGGTGAATGCCAGTTCAGACCTTTCGTCCGTCCCATTGGCGCATCCGTATGAGCTACTTCTCTCTGTTTCTGTTACCTATGTTTAGGGGGATCAGACCAAAAGGCGCAACAGGCTACCCATAGCGGAAGGTGTGGGCGTTCCCCCTTCAAAATAATGTGTCAACGTAAACGTCTAGGGGTAAGACTAATCCACGTGGCTACCTTACAGTAATATTTGACATCTGTCAGCGAATTGGACGAAAAGACCAAACACCTGCAACCAGAAATATTGACAGGTTGTACCCACTTTGAGCCGTCACCCCCTCCTCGCCAAGTGTTCGTTTTGCGGCATCTCCCACCTGTCACGGCCCGGAAGATTGTTAGGAAAGTAAAAAAGTCTCGCTTAGGTCGAAAAAGCCACGGCTGCGAAAGACCTCTCCAAGACTCTCTAGCTACAACGAAACTCGTAGCAACCAAACCGGTTCCCTTCAGGGTCACGGAAGTTCATAAACCACCCATGAGAACTCTCAGTTGTCTTGCCTAGACAGGTGCTACCACCGCATTCGTGAACTCTCTTCTCCATCTGATATAATCAGCCTGCCGATCTTCTGGAAAAGGTACTAATTCCTGGAGTATTTGGGCACCAGGACTGACCATGTCAAGGGAATCGACCGAGTAGTACACGGTCATCCCACTGCCCATAATCTGCTCTGTTGGAGCGCAACCCTCCGGCATCTGGACGATGCCTCCCGATAATCCTAGACGGAAGACCCACTTAGCAATCTTGATCAGCTGTGCATCAAGGTTGGCTTACCCTTCGGTTCAGCGAAACTATAGTGCTGCACTTTGCTTTGGTCTTCAGCGGACTGAGCTGGCCTCCATTCCCAGGACGGAAAGATGGCACCGTAAAATGCCTACCCAGAGATCATCGTCAGCGGGGTCCAGTACCCTACTACCACAACAGACGAAAATCACCAGAGTCGCCGCATGACTGCGAACCGACCTTTAATTTTTCGGTATCCCGTGCAGGAATCTCCACCCAACACGGAGAGCCTCCTGGGGGAGCCTTCCATGTCTGCTGGGCCTTAGTTGCGTCACTGGTTTCGGCAGACATCGTGGACTGTTAGAGCCTGAACAAGTTCAGCGCGGCGCATGCCAAAAGCTTGGACAGGGAGGTGAAGGAGCATAATAAATCTACTTCTGCCATCAGAAGGCAGTAAAACATAAAGCGTGGTTCGTGTACGTCATCAGCAACATGATCATGGAAAGCAAGTGGCCTCGACTTCGAGTAGAGTTTAAGCCATATAGCCATCTATCTCTAAGCGACGGGCTAGATTGGGCTTTAGCTAGTATCATGCCCTGGCAAACAATGTCACACGGGGTTGCTCAATCTTCTCTAAATGAGCCTCTCAACCTTAGCTTTACCCATCTTTCACACAATGGCAGAATCGGAATTCAACAGTTCGGTATTCCCAGTGACATTTTCCCCACCAGCGTGCCCCGCAACCCACCAGAAGCTGAGACATCACCCCCGCATGAACCTCTTTACGGAGTAGATACGACCAAATTCCAAACTAGGGACCCAGATTGATGCAGCCACTTCGTATAATCACCACGAATCCATGAATATTGAGTCAAGGAGAGTACCACAGCGAATGAGTGTCAAAATTCCGCGATTTGAGTTCGGATACGAGAAACTTCCTGACAACGCGTCTCAACCGCGTCACCAACAGTGCTCCATGACGCGTGTTTCCTTATTTTTGCTCCGTTACACGTGATATGGAGTAAGCCTTGTCTGCTGATTGGCCCCGGCGTATATTGTTAAGCTGTAAATTGTCCTTGTCTACGAGTGGATCCCTTTTCTTTCTAGAACGCGGGTGTGACGTGTAGTATTCGTATTATATACAAAACTCGTATGATCTTCGGGTCAGCTAACCTTCATAGAATGGTCACTCTTTTCTTCTTGTCACAACTTACAGCAATGGACAGCCAGGTATGTTTCTCCCGCAAATAGTTAGTGGGTTTCCCTCATTTCCCTCACCACTGCTAGAAAAATATTGTCAGCCCCGAAGAGTATCAGGCTGCTCGATCTCGTCTTCTCCAGCAGGAGAAAGCGGCAACGCACCTGCTACAGGATCTCGCCGTGTCGCGCCGTCAGTTGCCCATGGTGCGCATCCACGACCCAGCTCGGTTCCAATTCGATACACCTGACGGAGTGAAGACCCTGTGGGATCTATTTGATGGGCGCAAACAGCTAATCCTCTACCATTTTATGCTGGGACCCCATGAGACTCAGGGCTGCGTGGGTTGCTCATTCTGCATGGACCATATCCCCGACCTCCGCCACCTATGGAGCAGGGATACTTCTTTCGTCGCCGTGGCTACCGCACCCTTGTCTGAGATCACCGCCTACAGGAATCGGATGGGCTGGAAGTTTCCTTTTTATAGTTCTGCGAAAACGCACAAAAAGTGGGCCGAAGTCGAGGCACAGGGAGAAATCATCACCTGGAAGCCCGGGAACGGCTATTTTGGACTAAGTTCGTTCTTCCGGGAAGGTGACGAGGTATTTCACACCTATGAGACCTCGTCTCGTGGCTTGGAGATCATCCTGTCCACGTATCACCTGCTGGATATGACCCTGATGGGTCGGCAGGAGGTGGGAAATGGAATGAACAACTTCCGCCGTCACGATGAATACTAAATTGGCAAGAAATAGAAGCAAAAACTCGTCAGTTTGTCCTTAAGGCCATCTATTTCTTATGCCCTCTCCTGCTTCCTGCTTTCTATCTCTTTTCCTTACCCCCTTCCTCTCATTTCTTTTTATAGTGATAGCTACCCATTGCGGATTTCCTCTTTGTCTGCGTCCACTGCATAGGAACGCAGACAGTGTTCTGTATCAGCTCCAAACCCTACGAGTCCCCAGTGACTATACAATCTATTCTATGAAATAATGTATACCTACTACCCAACTGCAGACTGGCCGCTGCTAGCTCCCGCCTTATAGTAAGCTATATGGATCCTAAGATGATAATAAATGTGAATATAATGCAAAGGAAACCATCACTCATATCATACTCAGCTACTTATAACTAAGAATACCACAGTAAAAACTACACAGAGAGGTCAGAGACACATTTAGCACCATCTTAACTATACTAGGAGGAAAGGGGGAAACCAGCCATATAAAGACTATACTAAATTTCGCAGAAGTATCTTAAAAGGTTTCATAGGCGCCAACTAAGGGAGCCATAAGGACAGAACTGAAGGTACATGGCCAACACAGGCCCCTAGGCAAGGACTAAAGTCCGTCCGTAAGGAATTGGATCGTGTACAATAAAGACGCAAGGGCAGAGAGGTAGTTGTAGTAGCCTGCATATCGTTCAGCAAGTTGAGATGCTGGATTGAGGTACAAATGTGATGATCATTCTCTAACTATGCAAGTAGGTGCAGCTATTTGTAGTAGAGTAGCTGCCTTCTGCCTGGAGCGGTGGTGGCAGCCACCATAACATCTATTCATCCCCTAATCTGGGATCCAACTCAGCGAGGAGTCAGCGAAAATGAAATCATCATCACCATCATCATCATCGTCTGTCCATGTTAGATGACCGTGCCACAGCCCGGACCTGGCTTGACAATTGCGAAAGCCCGTTTAATGGCAATCTTGTAGGGATGCATTGGCGTATTAAGCGGCATCAATTTAACTTTTCTTAGGCAGCACAATCCAGGATGAGGCGCAGAAAATGCAAACTGCTCAGAGCTCTTGGGAATCACCGTCGTTTTCTCAGAAGTCCACGAGCTCGCCAGAACCTGGGGCTAGTTTTCCGGAGCGGACATTGACTTTTGGCTCCAGCATAGATTAATGGGAATTTACGAACACTACAGCCTCTGCACATACTGGTCTCTTTCGATTGCTCAATCTTTGAATAAGTTCCCACGCCTTTATAAGAAGCGAACCGTCCTCCAGTTTTAATAGCTAGCTCAAGAATTGGAAGCCTATCACTGAACCTTTTTACACTGGCGATGACGGGCACGGCCTTAGAGGTACTCTGGCCTATGGAGCGATGATGCAATTTCTTGTAAATGAAAGGGGGCCATGCTTTTCTTGAGAACAGCCGTGTAGTGTTTAGGGAACAGACTCTGTCCATGAGAAGAGGCCGGGTTCTCAGAAGAGGTCCCTCCCTCAAGATCGGAATGCATGGCAATTGTTATGTTTGACAGCAACGGTATCCCCTCAGCCTCATCGCAACCCATCGTGGATGTACCAGTGTACATGACTGCTCATACACAATGAAATTTGCTCGGTGTCAAGAGTAGGCGACCACAGTGCGATGTTAGCGTCCTAACCAGAGTTGAGAAATGGATACTTCAGTGCCACTGGAAATCTGCCGTGTCGCGCTCGAGATCCAAGGGGGTACTGCTTTGTGCCGTCCAATACACGTGAGGACGTACTTCCGCCTTCGAAATTGGGGTGCACCTTGAGTTGATTCAAGAAGACCCCAGTGGGGGAACCAGAAGTAGACAAAGGCAATGAATCATTGGAGCTGATGTCAGTCGTCTCCGTCAGGTTACCCAAGGGAGGAGAATCAAGCAGTCACCGAGAACAGCGGTGAAGGGCCAATGTCTGCCCGAGTCTGGCAGAGCTTTTCTACTCTTGAGGTCATACTAGTACATAATTTGCAAGTTGCAGTTGTGTCTATAGGTTCTCAAGGGATGAGGTGTATTCTCCCTTTTTGTAGTTTCTTACGCTTCTCTTCTCCTGAGTTTATCCAAAGTCCCTCACCATTATGTGTCCTACACTATTCCGGCGATAGTGAGCTTTTCGCTGTAGTTGCAGTCTGGCGTGGGGAGAGTTTTCCGCGTGTAGAATCACCGGAAACGGCGACAGCGAACTGTGCATACTGCCTACGCAACGTTGATTGGCGGATATAATTGCGGTGAACGGAGCGTTCCGAAACCTCGCGAAATAAGCAACAGGAAAGGGAGCCCCAAAGAGCCATGGCTCCACAATCGAGCATCGTGAGAGTAACGAGCTATAGTCATTGTCGGACGGTCGAACCAAGTGCATCACGTAGAATTTAAAAAAAGGAGTTAATTCAATGGGCGCCTGAACGGCAGGTTCTATTGAGCGCTGATCCAAACGGTATTTTCCGCACCTGGAGATATCGATCCTTCCGAAGTACACACGATGTCGAGGGAACCTTGACACTGACGTCTCAGTTTCGATGCAACCTTCTTTCAAGCAAGCACCACTTATAGCAACAGTTAAAGGCACCTTAGAAGTAAGGGGGCGAACACTACTAAACTCCAGACTAATGATAAGTTTCATCGTATCGATTAGCAATCTGACAATGGTTCATTCACGCATGTGCACTTCTGGTGCACTGGATATGTATGCCTACGTTGATGCCACGAATGCTTTGGGAAGAGAATACCTAGGCCTTCAGCTGTCTTCTATAGTTTCCGATGACAGCAAGGTAAAGGATTTAGCAATTACAGGTAGGCATGGCCGTCCGCTTATTAGTCGCAGAACAAGCCGTCAGGCGTTAATGATGGAATGCAGCATCTGAGCGCGGAGTGATTGTCCTACGCCACCAGGACATCAACATGGACCAGATGAAACGCCTCGTTCAGAGAATGGGAGAGTTAACTGGCAAACCAGAGGAAGGAAAACTACATATTAACCCGATACACCCTGAGGTTAATTCCTGCCTTGGAAACGACGAGGTTCTACGCGACCCCGAAATTTACGTAGTGTCGTCCGAGGTAAATGCAGTTATTTTACCCTAAAGTATACGATTGACGATCAGTACGTATGCAGCATAATCGCGATAAATTTGACGACTATCTGAACACGAAGCAGAAACAGTTTGCCAGTCGAGGTTGGCATGCCGAGTAAGTCTACACTGTATCCTTCGCCCTTTGTTAATTTCCCGCTAATTCGAGGTGAGTACCTCCTACGAGAATATCCCATCGGACTATATTGGAATAAAAATGGTGAAAGCTCCAACGACCGGAGGTGACACCGTTTTTGCCTCCTGCTACGGGGCCTATGACCGCTTGTCCGAGCCATGGCAGAGGATGGCTGATTCATTATCCTGTACGCTCCTCGACATATCAGGAAGAAACATGCTAACTCAGAGTCACTGAAGCGACACATCATGAACCAGACATTATGCCACTTGCCGACAAAGGACTCAATCTTTGGCTAGGTCCCAGAGGCCATCCTCAGAATTTTGGTGGTAGCTTCGAGGCAACTCAGTCAGACACAGCTCTGAATCCTCCTTTTATTCATATAGAAAGCTGACAATGGAACAGTCCCCTCGTAGTGACCAATCCGGTAACTGGTTGGAAAGCACTGTGGGGTTTTAGTCCAATCTCGATGCGCGCTAAGGGAAGAATCAATGGTGTTACAGATCATGAGCAGGAATTGATGAAAACCTACTGTATGTCAGGAGTTCCCAGGAATTGCCTTCCCTGGAAGAAGGGTGTTCTGATGGATCCGCTAATGACCCGACTAGTTTTGAAGTTGATTACAGACAATCATGATTTGCAATACCGCCACCGTTGGAAGCCTGATGATATCGTGATTTGGGACAAGTAAGCGAGCTTAGCTGTCTTCCTGCTGCGTTGACCATGAGCCTAACAAAAATTTATTTAGCCGAACCGTTCTCCACACCGGTACATAGTATGATAACCTCCCAACGTGAGAGCCAGGTTCTGATACAATAAGCAGTGACCTTCATAATGAGGAGCGGCTGGCACTTCGGGTCACGAGTCTCACTGGTAAATTATACTGTGACCCAACGTCTTTGTCCCGAGAGGAATACTTTCGCAGGCAACGAATGACCGACTCCACCATGTGATGCCCTACAATAGACTTGGGCTTGGAAAAAAACGACGTGGAAGCATGTCGAAATATTCTTGCCAACCAAGTGGAACAATGTGCTGGGATACACATACTCTCAGTAAAAATCCAGCCCACTTCCCGGTGCCTTCTATAGATTGGCCTCGGACATGGCAGAAGCGACTGGGTAAGCACATAATTGCCTGGTGTACACCATGTGCGAAAACGCTAGTTGTAGAGAGGCATAGTTGGAAAAGCCACCGCAGTTGAAGCTTTCGCTATAGTGGTCACAAGCCGTGGAACCCAAGATTTGGCAGCAGGATCAACACGCATTTCGCTGTAATTGGTGCTTCCCTGCAGGGAGTTGAATATACCCCCTTTGACTTTCCAACCCAAATACGGACAGGAGTATGTGATGTTGATCTGTGTGGTTGATTTCAAGGCGTTTCAGAAAGCGACACCCTCGGTTTTAGTGGACCATGAGTATGCGGCTGTTCTGAATATCCATGAAATAGAGCCGGAAGGATCATTTCATTGGGACTTCAATCTAATGGAGAATATCGCCTCACTTTTGCCCCGGAGGGCACCTTGCGTGGTAAAGAGGTCGATCATATAAGCATTATGAACATGGACCGTACTGTAGTAGAAGATGATCATATGGCCGAGCTTGCTGCGGATTATGCAAAAGCGAGAGTTGGCCCTATAGGCTTATTAATACCTGCCATCCCTTACTACACGCATATAACCAGGCCACTTTGAGGCAAGCGAAGGATGAACCTGGCCCTTATGAGACCCGAGGCACCTTGCAGCCTATTTGGACCACGAGAGCTACAAAGGATTCCTGGGCGACCGCGAATGACCACACAGAACTCCAATCGTCAGCATCAGAAATGCCTGCAGCGATCCAATCCAAGCAATCGAAGACTGCGACGAGTCCCTCAGCAAGCCCGTACTGTATTCAGATTGGAATGTGCCGAAAGTGTTCAAGAGACCCCAGGTGTTGAAGTTCTAGAAAAAGGCCCCGAGGACTTGGAGCCATGCTCTCATGCCTCCATTTGGTGGCGGAGGGGGTCCTGCGGGCTTTGGTAGTTCTTCTGCTACTACCTCTGTCTTAACATGACTGTGGACAGTCGTTGTGTCGGACTCGACGTCTTTTCCAAACATGGAAGGCGGCTGAGAGGATGCCATTGGGAGGTGGTATATGATCGAACTGAGGTCAAAGCTGAAAGCACCGAAGAGCAGAGTAATGAAAATATCAATGAAGATGCTCAAATTATCATGCCACCAACGACTTATGGGAGAAATTGATAACACTGACGACGGGCCGAAATATATTGCGTGAGCGAGTCTTTCTAATCTACTAAACCAATAAACCCAACCAAACTGACCAAACTGACCAAATGACCCTTATTAAACTACATCCTCTTCCAACAAAGCACTGGCTGACTGGCAATGCCGAATCACCAGAGGGAACAAACATCAGATTAACAGATCTGGAATCTCTCCAGCAGATTACCCCATCGGGAAGTGCATAATCCGGAGTTTATTTACCGAATGGGGAAGTGGATAGGGCTGATTGGGGATGAGCTTAGCTTCGTCCCATTGTCTTGCCCAACGGACTTCTATTGTCGCTTTGGGAATAGTATGTTCTTCTGGTGTGGTTGCTGCAGGTGGACACACTCAGTCTGTGAACGCCCTGGTAAAAGCAGCTGCTGATGCCTCTTCCTGGTGGTGCCTTGACCAGCTTTAATTGATTACATAGAAACTTGTTTAAATTATCAGGTCCTATTAGGTAACCTAGATGAGGTAATTTGAAAAATAGAGAATTTCCATAAATGCCTATTTGTCCCAATCGAGTGTGGCATTCCTCATGGAAAAGTATGATCATTGATGGGAGTTCATCGGTGCACTGAGCTTTCAGAAATAAGCCTCACTAGACCCAAATACAGCGTTGAATACAATAAAAAGAAATTGATAAGCCTGGAACATGAGACAACCCAAGTGGGCACGAAAAGAGGACTCGCCTAGAAAGATCAGAACAACTTTTAGGCTCCTATAGACCGGCTACTTCTTACCGCCCAGCCCCAGTGATTCTGTCACCGTGCCCAATCCAAGTCCCTCAAGGAGCCTGTCAATCCCAAGGCCACCCAGCAAACTATTCAGAAGTCCCCCAAGACCCAATTCGTTCAGAAGCTTACCGACAAGTCCCAGCACTCCGCTAAGGAGGAGGCCAACCGCAGCAATAATCTGGAACAACGGCTCTGAAAGGAGAGCCCACAAAGGGTTGATCTGTCTTTTGGCGTGAGGCATATCGGCTATCATCTTCCGTCCATTTTCAATAGTCTCAATGACAGTCTCTGTCAGTTCCTTAAGGAGATCTGCCAGTTCATATTCTTCCGGAGTTGCCTCGCGGGAAGAACTGTGGGCTTTGGCGGTGGCAGCAATCTGGCCATCCGGATCGAGAGACCGAAGGGCACCCTTGCATTCCTGCAGGGAATTACCTGCCTCTTCTATTAAGGGCTTGACGTCCTTCACGAGTTGCTCCTCGTCGAGGTCTTCCTTAGGAGTGCTGTTGGCAGTTTGGATGTGCTGGGGATGCACACGCGTTAGTTTTCCGCAATGCTAATGTTAGGAAATGAGGAAAGAGGGCATGTACCTGGGAAATTTGCCTGCAATGCGCTCCAACACTGTCGAGTGTCTGTCGAAGAATCGTACACATTTTTCTCGCCAGGTCTCGATCTTCGGCCTCCTGCTGCTGCTTTTCGATTTCTTCGGGGGACAACTGTGGCTCTTCATCGGGAGTCCAGCGCTCTGCCCGACCTATAACGTTGCCCAATTTGTCCATAATCTCACCGTCTTCATCGACAGCCCGTCCAAGAAGTCGATCCTCATCGCCTTCCACTAACCTTCCCATAATCTGCCCAGTACTATCAGTCACCATACCACCCTTGGTCACAACAAGCCCACCGAGTCCGAAGAACGGCCCCTCCTCCCGTTCGCGTTCTTCACTTGGAACGACCTCAGCCATACCAATCACCTCTCCAGCGTCATTCCAGACCTGCCCTTTCGCATCTACCTTCTTGCCTACCATCCTTTTAAGCCTTCCTGCGACAATGTGCCCGAAAACAGCCCCTGTATCATCAACCACGTTTCCCAGCTTGTTCACCGTCTTTCCATCAAGAATGGTCAAATCTTGCTCCTCCTCCTCCTCCTCCTCCTCCTCTCCTCCTTCGCCTTCCAATTCGCCTTCCATCTCTGAGGGTTGTAAGGGCTCAGCTCGACCGAGAATGTTGCCTCTTTTGTCCAGAATATCGCCGTCGTCATCCACGGGACGCCCAACAAGCTTCCCAACATCGCCGTCCACGATTCTTCCCACCCGATTTCCGTATTCATCTTGAATGTAACCGTCGTCAGCGACGAAGAGTTCTCCTAAACCGGAAAAAGGACCGGCCTCTTCTTCTTCTTCTTCTTCTGATTGTTGTTGTTGCTCCACTGAAATTGGCTTTGCTCTGCCAACTAGACGCCCTCGGTTATCCCAGAATTGACCTGCACTGTCCAGCTGCAGGCCCTCTCGGCTAAGTTTCTTGGCCTCACCCTCGACAAGCTGACCAACAGGGACCCCGTCTTGATTCACAATGTTGCCAAGCCTATCGCAAGTCAGACCCTCCAGTGTGGAAATGTCAGGTAACTGTTGGGCAGTCGATGCTACAGCTCCAATCGTCGCTTCGCCACTTTGCTCCTGCAACTTTTGGAAAGCAGCATCAGCGGCTTGCCCGGACACGATTTCAACCTGTCCAACGACATTATTCTCATCATCCAAGACTTGGCCCTTCTCATTGACTAGCTTTCCTGTGAGAGTACTCGTGTCTTGTTGGCCCACTACTTTGCCAAGCGTTTGGCCATCTTCGTCGACAACTTTGCCGTCCTTATTTATCCTCCTGCCCTTGAGTATTGAAGCATCCTTCACCATGGCGCCAGCTGCTTCAACTTCTTGGGTTGCCACTGCTCGATCGCCCGGCTCCTGTCCGACTTCTTGAGGGACAAGCTCGACGCACCCAATAAGGTCACCGTCTTCATCCAATATTTCCCCACCGCCATCAATAATCTGACCGACAAGGTCCCTCGGGTCGCCTTCGGTGACTCGGCCTACTAGTCGTCCCGTTTTATCCAGTATCTTTCCACCTTCACCCACTTTGAGCCCCTCCAAGATGGACAGATCAAGACACGGCTCCTCGAGATGGGGATTGACAACATTGCTCGTGGCTTGAGCTCCCGGAGTCTTCTGAGCTTGATCGCGAACGACGCGCCCCACCATATCAGCTGTCCCTTTACCAAGCCCCGTGAGCTTTGATGCGCCTCCCTTGGCCCGGTCCATGATCGACGACGCAGGCGCCCCAGACCCCGACGCTTTAGCTGCAAATCTACCTTGGTCGCCTTGGTGCCTCTGCTCTCGAAATCCAGGGTTACTCATTTTGTCTGAAGGAGAACCAGTCAATGATGGATCGCGCGTTTCCCTCTTCTCTCAATTCTGTTTATCCCACTCGGCGGAAGTTTTCTTTTCCTTTTTTCTTTCCGTTTGTCAGTCTCTGCTTGAAGGCTAAGATAGTGCTTGGATAACAATGACCAGGGACTGAAAACAGATGGGCAGAGACATATATCGATCGAGTGATTATTATGGGGTGTAATTTCAATCTGGAAGACAATGCTTATAAAGCACTGCGCGAGCTCAAGAATACTGATTTGATTACCTTGACGTCGTCTACCAAAAACCAAGCCATCATTGGGGCTGGCAGGGAAAGCTGGATTCATGGGTTCCGTGGTACGGAGTTCTCAGCCACGGGAACCGTGGGGCTTCAATCACGAGGACGTTTATGGACCGTAGCCAGACACCTTGTCTACCCCAGTTCAGGGAGAACAACATTGTAGCGCTGCTTTCACTTCCTTTGGTCCGGCATGGGATTTTGTGGAATGATAATTGCTGTCAACGTTTTCCACATGGCAGAATTGGTTAAGTTTCACTTGGATTCCATTGGTTGGATGTGGCCAGATATGCCCCTTGATAAAGAGCAGACATATCCCCGGACTCTTTTTCAATGAGATATCACCCTTGGTTAAAATAATTAAACCTGGCAGCGATTTATAGATCTTGAACATAAGCTCCTTCGATAGGCTTTAGCCTTAAAGTTGCACAGACATGTATCGGCCGTTCTGCTTTATCTACCATGAGAGCTAATTCAATTTCATGTAAATCACATTGCTGTTCGGACTACTGTAGGGCTATGGATCTTACAAATAATGACGATAGTTTAAATCAAGCACTGTCATATTTCTAACAATTAAGCTTTCGTGGCGCAGTAACCCATGGACGAGGATCAGAATGCCAGTCATTCCACAACAGATGTGCGGTCATTGACTGCTTAGGGCCTTCCTGGGAGAGTCATGTCCTGACCTAGCGAAAGACGAGTTTATCATTCAATTATACAGTGTCAAAATACATTTCAAATGTATGGCTATATCAAAATTTCTGCATGTTTCTTAATGATGAGCAGTGTTAACATATATAAATTATCACCATTTGCACGTGTAGAAGAAATCCGTATATTCTGAAGTTTCCAGACCAGGCATACAGATTAAAGATCCATTAATTCTATGGAAGATTCACTCAAGAACGACTTATCATGATACAGTGAAAAATATGACGACAGTGTTTTCTTCCTGCTGGGGTTATTGTAGGATCTGGCATAGCCAATGTGTCACTTACTAGAGATAAAGTTATCAACAGCCTTCAAGGTGGTTCCGTGCCATAACTACGGAATGAAACACTTACAGCAGCGATAACGTAATGTCGCCATAGATTTTGGCTTTCAGCTCGACTTCCACATCGAGGTTCAAGTCCAGACGCAGTTTAAGCCCTGAGTCGTCATCTTTTTTCTGAAGTTGCTGGTTCTCACTCCCCTCAATCAAACTAAGCTCTTCAGTGGACTCCTCTTGCATGCGAGATACTGGCCCAGCCACGGAGTTTTGCTCGAGAGCGCCCTGGTCGAGTGGCTGTAGGGCGTTCAACGGGGACTCGACATTGCGATACCTCGCAGGGTGAAACTTGTTTAGCCGACGAGTGACTTGGAGCTGTTGTGTCTCCTTAAACTGTTTATGATTTGGAGACCTGTGCATGTGTTCGGACAGGCTCTCATATTCATAATCTGGAGAAGGTGCATGGTCCGTATTTAAGTCGTCTTGATAATGAGAAGTGTTCTCTTCTCTAGATCGAGAAGGCCGAGCCATTTTGGAAAGGACTAGTGTAAGAGAAGCGAAATGATGCCAATAGAGAATGCTCCTTTCAACTCATTTAAACATCAGATAAAATGTCTGATACAGAGTGGAAGAGTAGCTTCATATGAGCGATGTTGTAAACCTGGGGGGAGTTGTTTTCTTTGCATCGCCACCGACGGCATTCTATTGAAAGCAAAGAGTCCTATGGGTCAGGCAATGAAGGGCTACCACGAAATTGAATGTCGACTCCGCATCAAATGAACGTGGACAGTAACACGTTTAGCACCACTCTCTTGACCATGACGTGCTTTATCTCAATTTGCCTTGGTTGTTTGGTTGCAAAGTGGCTTGATAACCGAGTGTATCTAGACGTCATGCCGCAAGTAAATATACCCAGGTATGATGTCCGAATGAACTTTCATCGCACCGGATGATACCGTAAGTAACAATAGGAAGCAGGTAATCTTTGCTTCTCCATTTCTTCTATTGTAAGACCTACCATCGGTTGTGTGTTATTGTGCCTCGACTATTACCTTGAACGAGCACCGTACCAGCGTGAAGACAAACCAGGGCCCTGGTCTAGGCCCCAGAGGATTGTAATCTTTGGAAAAACAATGAAATTTTATTTCATCAATGTTTTCTTTTGTTTCCCCCCTCCTTCCCCCAAGAGACTCGCTACGTAGTTCCCAACAGCAAGTCAGATCGCCACTCTGATGTCACCAAAGCACAAACGTACTGGTCAATAGGCAATAAGTGTAAAATCGTTCATTCTATAGGGGAACTCGTAACATATATGGACTGGCTCTAGCTAAAATTCTCGCGTCCACGTACCAACCAGACGTCATCTTTATCCCCCAAATGGCAGAATCCATGGAGAAAGCTCCAAGTACATATGCCGGTCGTAACAATCCTGGCATCAACTCTCCGCCAAAGAGAAAACCGCCAAAGCTCAGAAGGAACTTCCCCCCTGTTGTTGAACCGTCTGAAAAAGACGCTGAATCCACCAAGGACCCCGACTCTAGACAGGTCTCCCGTGATACTAACGGGGACGTGACAAGTACTAGCCACGAGTCGACTGTGGATGAGGAGTATGTTAGAGAGCAAGAGTCTGCCACAACCGAAACGGAACCTCGAGGCGGTGGTCAGACAGCACATCAGCCTTCAGCCAAACAAACCGCCGTGATTGATCGCCCGGAAACTGCCCCTGTCGAAAATTGGCAGAGGCGGGTACGCGGTAGGCGTGGAACCCAGCAATTAGTTCCGATAGGTGATATTACCGATGTCGGCAAGACAGCAAATAGGGCAGTGGGTACCGTTCACGATGTGGGCTCGAAAGCTATCAGTTCAGCGGGTAATACAGCCGGTAGAGCCTTGGGGGAAGTGGTTGGAGTATCCCAGGGTGAGCAGAAAGGCAAGGAGGAGCAGCTGAGGTTACGGCTAGATTTGAATCTGGACATTGAGGTGCAGCTCAAGGCAAAAATACATGGCGACCTCACTCTACAGTTGCTGTAAGTGCTATGAGTTGTACTGTGAACTCGTGAACCAATTACTGATATGTCTAAATGTTAGAAGCTAGAAAGCTCGCCTTCGTTCTATTTCTATTTGCCCTCAAGTGCGTTGTTCACTATATTGCGTCTGTTAGGCATTTTCTATTGGTGTATGTTGAACTTCTGTCCATTATTTGAAATATGCAATATTTCATCCATCTTTAGTCATGAAGGCAGAGCCGCTTACTGTAAAAGACAGTAGTTATGTTAAACTTCTGACGTCAGCTGTAAACATCGAATTTCTTGAACCATTATTTACTTATGCCAATCTCTCGTCCCCAGTAAGCCGCTCACGAAGGGTAGATTCAGGCACCCCAACATACCTCAGCAGGTTTTGATTTTGATTTTGATTTTATTTCTTTTTGATTTTGTTATGCAGAAATGGCCATTTGCATACTGGCCTCTTTGGATGGAGACATTTCTATAAAAGTGAGAGCGATAACACGCGTTAATGCTTGTGTATTCAAATATTTCGAGAGACCGGCGAAAATCCGTGGTATCCGCGGTTCGGTGGTGGATTACGTAACTTTAGTTAAGCCTTGTAAAATCAACCATTGTCCTCGTAGGATAGCACTAACCCTCCAGCTACTGTTCATTATATTTTAATTATTCCTTCTCACGTATGGGGAATAGTGTTAGGTTTTGACTACCCCCTCCCGAGAGTTCATCAGTCTGTATTACGAATTTCCCATTATCGACGGAACCTACGGCAGTCTTTCCCGAAATATCCATGCACGGGATCTTTTTTAAATATGAATTGAACGGCACCTCTCCTCGTTTATCCGCGATCCAACTGCAGACATGGTCGCCAACGCTCCCAAGGCCCTCACTCTCCGTAGATCATGCCAAGCCTGTGCAAACAGCAAGCGTCGTTGTGATCGAGGATTGCCCCGTTGCAGTCGGTGTTTGGCCCGAGGACTCGATTGCCGATACGTGAATGAGCCATTCGCGACTGGGGTGAAATCACCTCCGGCACGGAAGCGGCCCAACGCAGTAGCTTCTTCACCTACAGCCCAACTCCATCAGCCTCTCCGGCTGGAAATTACAAAAGGCTACTCCCAGCAGATCGTCCGATTTCTCGTGCACGGCATGCGCCAGTTTCCCATAGCATTTGCGCATAGCAGAAAGACACATTTCATCCACCCGGAGTTATACACAGGCAAAAAGCCGACACAGATTATAGCAGCTTACGACTTGTGTAAGCTGCATACACAGATTGAACAAGGAAAGGGCACTGGGACGCCCACGCTTGGCCCCCGGCTTCGGCAGCAACTGATCAATCTCCTCCACCAATTCGTGCACGCAACAAGCTTTGAGGAGCTCCTCGCCTGCGCGCAGGCATTGATTCTTCTTCAGTGTATTGTCCTGCTACGCGACGATCAGAACACGTATTCCGATGGGGTCAGCTGCAGCCTGGCGGACCTCGGCCAGCGTCTTTGGCAGCAAGCCCCCATCCAACTTCCACATTCGCTCAGTCCGCGACGGGCCTGGATATACGCAGAGAGTGTCCGGCGCACCATCATCGTGAGTTTCATGTTACGAAGTGTATACTCTTTACAAAGAAGAAACTACTCGGTGCGTACGCCGTTTATTGATTCGTTGCCATTTGACGTTCGCACGTCGCTGTGGGATGCTCCAGGAGAGGCATGGGCAGACGGTCCTTCTAACGCCGACATGGTGTCTCTGCACGAATACTCGGGTATGCTGGAGTCAGGGCAGATCCATAATATCACCCCGTTTGGAAGTCTGATATTAGCCGCTTGTAGGGGAGTAGCTATTTCAGAGATTCCATTTCCTGCAGCGCTCCGTCCTCGGTAACAACACCTGAATCCATGTGTCATTGTCATTGCTATATATAGAGGCTATCGCAAAAACTGCCTCAATACTTTGGATAACATCTCCGTCATTTGACAATACACCTCCTGTCTCTTGATCTCAAAGGCCTCGAAGATCTCTCGTGCCGAACCAACCGCCACCTGTTCCTTGCCGTGGCACAGCTGGCTCCAAACATCATCGATAAACTCGCTCAGTGGCATACCTATGAGATGGCCGTCTTTGAGATCAGGCTGGTGCTTGGCGTCATGCAACTCCGTCTGCACAGCAGGGGGATAGATTTCGATCACTTTGATATTCCCCAGCCCGTCCTGCAGCTGCGTTCGGAGGGCGAGAATAAAATGGTGCAGCGCGGCCTTGGAGGCACCATAGTTTGGACAACGCATCATGGGAACCAGGGCCATCTGGGAGGTGGTGAAGGCGATGGCGGCAGTCGATTGCTTCTGCAGGTGGGGGATGAATGCCTTGGCGAGGCGCACAGCCGAGGAATAATTAGTGATCAGCTCTTGGTCGAAAACATCCATATCCACAGACTCTGGCTTGCTAAAATCAAACGGGCGCTGAATGCCGGAGTTGACAAACACGCAGTCAAGGCCGGGATTTTCAGCAGTCACATCCGCCACGAACTGGGGGATCTACTGGGGGTCAGCTACATTATGAGATCTCGTGGAAAGACATACCTTGTCAGGTTGCAAGACGTCGATCACCTTTGATGTGACCTTGTCGGTGCCGTGTTGCTGGACGAATTCATCCAAGTTTTCCTGCCTCCGTCCTGCAATGATGGTTGGAATACCATTCTGCACCAGCTTGTTGGCTAATGCCTTGCCGATGCCTGAGGTGGCTCCAATGATGAGAACGTTTTTGTATGGGAACGTCATTGCTAGGTTGACCTCTGGAATTAGACATGAAGTATTTTCATCTTATGGAGCAACAGGAGATCTATTTATCTTCTATGCTCCTGTTCAGACTTTCTATGTTCATTAGCAATGGTTGGTTCAGTCTATCAATGATCTCATGTCCTGTGCGGGGACTAAACCCAAACAGTAAGTTGCTCCACTGCCTGCCTTCCTGGGCGGAGGCTAAGCCAGTTTGAGAATATAGTTAGTATCGACGCTGATGATCTCGTCTTTTCTGACTGATGAGCAATTAACTAACTGACTAGCTAAAGTTAGTTAGTTTACCTATAAACTAACTGTAAACTAACTAACTTTAGCTAGTCAGTCAGCCAATGCTTGATAAGCGGTCGGACAATTGCTAGTACGGTTCCTCTAATTCCCAAGATAGCCCCAGATTGGTCATCCAAAATCTTGAGCTGGGAAACAACACACTGAAATATCCACTATCGTACTCAGAGTATACCACCCTATTCCGTCGAAAATACCCACAGACAGGCGATGGCCCCGCTCTGACCCAGAAGATTGCGCTACCTGCTCTCCGACTGTCTGACATTGGACCGAGATATTAGTGCCTGAGAACAAAGTTCCTCCATTCATGACTAAGCGGGAATTCGCATTTCCCCCCCCCCCCCCCCTTAATAACCGGAGACTAATCCTGATCCAGCAGCGAGGTATCAAAGCATGCGAGTCCTTGCGTATCATTAGATGGCGGGAAAGAAAAGCGGATTGGGGTTGCTAGGACGCAAAGCCTGCCGCTCGCTGAAAACAGCTCAAAGAACGCACAATAGACTCAATCTGGAGAGGCCCAAGAGCTATCGGAACGTCCCCGATCAGTCCAAATTTGCCGTTGGTCGGAAGGCAACGATGCACAACGCTTTCCTGACAATGATGATCTGCACAATACTTCTCTATGCGCAGTCGCGGATGAGTTTATCTACCAATACACACTCGCGGCGTTGACATCGCGGGTATTCGAAGAAAAGCTCTGGATTGGCTTTTCCAAGGGCCTTAGTCCCCAAGAAGGCTGTAGAGTGCTAGATCAGATCCTATCTCGGGTTATCGGTGAAATCAGTAATCGCTGATGGATATGGTTTCTATTAATGCTTTGGGCCGGGTCAAGAAGTCTCTTTCCAGTAGTCTCAGTAGCGGCAGTCGAGGGGTCGCACATGCGAAATACCACATGTGTATTACAACTGAAGTCACCAATCCGAGAAAAACTCCAAATTGCAAGTGACGCCAGGAAGAAGCTCAGGTACGAAGCCAGTGTACCCCTTGCGCATGTCCGCCTTCGCTCTTCTCTCTTGACTGCATATAGCGTACAGGTCTTCAATATCGAGATGTTAGTGAGATGTTGGTGAGTTGTTACCTATAAATATACACATATAGTTACATGTACATACACAAGCGCAATATTGTGAGTCTGGATCGCGTACTTGGCAACAAACCTGTGATCTCGGCTTCTAATATGTGTGGATCTAACGGCCTCTTCAAACCGAGGCATGTACTGAAATTGCTTTTTCCACACATCCGTTGGGGTTGCGCATCCACGACATGCTAGGGCAAGATGACTCTAAGGCCGAGGTATCACTTCCAGTATTACGGACTATTCCCCGTCCCAGTTCCATATCTTTGCGACATGCGATACTTGAACCTTCAGGCATCATAAAGTCTGCTGGTCTAAGCTTTGATTTTATAGGACCTTTTTATGCGTGAGTACTAGCAATATACTCATTTCTCAGTTTTCTTTCACGACCACCAACTACCAATGGCAAGCACCTTAGCAGAACATGTTTCCTTGGACAAGACCGGTGACCACTACGTCTCCTTACACATACCCCAGCGCATGGGGAATTTGGCACCCATTGCGTACGGAGGCTATGCCATCGCCCTCGGAATTCATGCCGCGTGCAAGGTAGCCCCAAACGGATTCCATCTGTACTCCGCCATGGGCCACTTTCTTCGAGCAGTTGGCACTGACGCGAATCTTATCTGCACTCCTGTTGAGCTCCGAAGAACGAGGAACTTTGTGACCTACCGCGTTACGGTTGAACAGAAATCCCAATCTATAGCAGATCTGCGGCTGTGTATGGAGCTCCTGGCCGATTTCCATAAAAACGAGCCGTCTCTCCTCAATTACTCAGCTCCGCCCACTCGGACGTATAGTCACTGGCAGAACTGCATCCCTTGGGAGTCCGTGGCGGACGAGTATTGGGCTAAAACCGGCACGATATCTGAAAAACAGTTGCAAACTTTCAACACGCTATTCGGACTCTCTCGGAACCTTTACGAAGGCCGCCCATGCCCAGAAGGAATTGCGTCTCAAAATCTGATGGGATTGGCTAAAGCTGTCAAAACTAGCCAGGAAGATTTGCCCCCCACGGCAAAGTCCTCAGCAGACTGGATCCGGGTGAGACACCCTTTGCGGACGGAAGGGGAGCAGATGGCCAGTTTAGGGTTCATTATGGATGGAGTGCTTTCCTTCTTGGCTTTGGCGCACAACCACATGTTTTTTGATGACGTCGATGCATGGTCAAGCCTGGATTTCGCCCTCAGGGTCTTTTCGCCCTGTCTTCAGTTGGACAAATGGCACTTGAGGGAGGCTATCAACCATCACGCGGGCCACGGCCGCACGTACAGCGAGAGCAAGTTGTGGGATGAAACGGGCAATCTAGTTGCTTGCATGACAGAGCAATCGATCTTGCGGGTCCCAAGGGCTGCGAGAATGTGAATAATTGTGTCTGATCCAGATCAATTACATATAAGGCATTGAATACAGTTTGATATATAGGTTTGTTGCTGACATAGAATCTTAGAGCCCTTGCAGTAGACAACGGCCGGGCTTTAGACGCAATCCAGAATTATAATGCATCATTATTAGTTATCACAAACAAGCATCGGCACTTTATAAAGAAAGATCAGTAATCTAAGTAGTAGCTAACCGATTTTGATTTTTAGTCTTTATCGTAACTACCTAGCACCTATTTATTCGTCCCTCTCACGCACGTGAATAGTATTCTCAACTCTAACCAAGCATACTACGGCCGAATTTCCTCATCAGCATCTTCATCCGAGATTGCGATCATCAATTTAAATATTTTCCGGGATGATTGGCAAGCACACTTCAAGTTGACGTTTATGTTTCTCCGGCCATTCCTGCGACAACAGGCTCTCAGGACCCTACCAAGCAATGGTGGTTACCCGTCTTCTGCACTCTCGTTCAGGGGCCGACATCTGCGGTCCTAGTCGACACCCCTATCTCAATTAGTCAGGCTGAGGACCTGGCAGATTGGGTCAAGAAGACTGCACCTGGGAAGAAATTAGAATATATTTATACGACCCATGCGCACGGAGACCACTATCTTGGCAATACAATCCTTTTGAAGCAGTTCCCGAGTGCTACATGCGTAACCACATCGGCTGTCGCGAATGAGATCAAGGCTACGCTGGCTACAGCAATCCCAAAATGGCATGGATGGTTCCCCAATGGACAGATCGTCACAGATGACCAGGTTATTCCCAAATCTCTGCCGGCAAATGGGGAATTTGCTATCGACGGTTGCAAGCTCCATGGGGTCGACGTCGTTCACTCCGACACACATGCCTCATCTTTCTTGCATGTACCAGATTTGGAGCTCGTCGTGGCAGGTGATATTGTGTACGGGGATTGTTTCCAATTCTTAGCTGAAGCTTCGACCGCAGAGAAGCGCAAGAGTTGGCTCGATGCGCTCGACCAAATTGCAGCGTTGAAGCCCTGTATTGTTGTCCCTGGACATAAGCGGGCGTCACAGGCGGACGTCCGGGCCCTACTTGATCGACTCGACCAAGGAGTACATTCTGGCCTTTGAGGAAGAACTAAACCAACTGCGGCAAGCAAACCTGGTCGAAGACGCGATGACCAAGCGGTATCCGCAGAGATGGAATAGGTTTATCTTAGATAGCAGCTGTAAAAGTTCAGTTGCGGCCTTGTAATTTGAGCATATGAATTTATATTCTCTGTCCATGATTTCCGTCCCTACACGGCTTAACGTACAAGATTACTATCTCACGTCGCATAGTGGTGATCGAGCAATTGATCGCTGCGAAAGAGGGTGCACATGATGATAAGAACCCCTCGCGGTGGTCGATGTTACTATTCTCTCGGTAGAAAAGAGCTGGCTCAGTTGGGGCCTGGGTTATACACAACTGCCCGAGAACCGAGGACGAAGATTAATAAACAATTCCCTACCCCACCCTCTTTAACGGACATTTCCCGGACTCGATATCATATATACTCACCACTCTACCAAGGCTAACGTATACTGTTTTGGCAATTCGTCGCTGGAGAAGCCTTAGTTTCTTCTATTTGCACTCTGTCTGATATAGTTTCTCCACTTCTAGCAGGATGCCCGCCTCCGTAAACATCCCCCCAATTGCCTTACCGTTCGTCAGTGAACGTGCGAAAAAGACTCTGGACCTGGTGCAGTTGAACCAATAACCCTTATTCCGTTCCCAAGCGATTAATCTGACTGAACGGCCTGCAGGTGGAGAAATTTGTGGAAGAAGAATGCATCCCTGCACATGCTGTCTTTGAGGCGCAGTTAGGGCAAGGCGCGGCACGATGGGCCAAGACACCAGCGGTATTGGAAGAGCTCAAAGTCAAGGCTCGAAAGCTCGGTTTGTGGAATATGTTTCTTGGCCATGACCACGGGGCAGGATTTAGTAATCTAGAATATGGACTGATGGCGGAGTATTTGGGAAAGAGCCACATTGCTTCTGTGGTAAATCTGCCAACTACCCTTCTAATAATACATAGCGATCACCTCTGAAGAAGTGCATGCAGGCAACTAACAACTCGGCCCCGGACACCGGAAATATGGAAGTCCTGGCAAAGTACGGCACGGAAGCTCAAAAGCAGAGATGGCTGGCACCCTTAATGGAGGGTAAAATTCGATCCGCATTCTTGATGACCGAGCCCGATATTGCCTCCAGCGATGCGCGAAATATCCAAACTGAGATACGTCGGGATGGGGCTGACTATGTTCTCAATGGGTCGGTGTGTATCAACTTTTCCTGCTGTCTCCTAAGTACATGACCTCAGGTTCCTTTCCCCATGATTCCCAAACCCCGGCCCTTTTCCTTTCTCGTCTCCTTTCTCCTGCTTTGCTCAACTCAAGCATCCCCGTCATATCATTGATTTGTTGTCAATTCGCAGAAATGGTGGTCATCTGGTGCTGGCGATCCGAGCTGCGAACTGTACATCGTCATGGCTAGAACTGCCAACCCAGCTCCCGAAGATCCCTACGGCCAGCATTCGGTAATCTTGGTACCTAAAAATACCCCTGGTATCACGGTCCATCGTATGCTATCTGTGTATGGATACGATGACGCGCCACACGGACATGGCCACATTACCCTTCAGGATGTCCGTGTCCCAGCGGCGAATATCGTCCTCGGGGAAGGACGCGGGTTTGAAATTATTCAGGGCCGCCTCGGCCCCGGCCGGATCCATCATGCGATGCGCACAGTCGGTGCAGCTGAGCGCGCTTTGGAATGGATGATTGAGCGAGTGAACGATGAGAGAAGGAAAACCTTTGGGCAGCCGTTGGCTGCACATGGGACAATGCTCGAGTGGATCGCCAAGTCGCGAATCGAAATTGACGCCGCGAGAATGACAGTGCTAAATGCCGCTCTGAAGATTGACCAAGAAGGCGCCAAGGCGGCGCTCAGGGAAATTGCCATCGCCAAGGTTCTCGTGCCCCAGATGGCTTTGCAGGTCATTGACCGGGCCGTTCAAACCTATGGCGCTGCTGGCCTTTGCCAGGGTACACCCCTGCCAAGTCTTTGGGCATCCGCAAGGACTGTTCGCATCGTTGATGGACCCGATGAGGTTCATTTGCAACAATTGGGCAGGAGAGAAATCCAGCGGCTTGGTAAAGCAGTGCAGGAGAAACTCTATCTGCAGAAGGTTATGGCGGACAAAATGTTGACAATGAGCGGCTTTTCTTCATCTGCGGGACTGCTTGGACCAGGGCCACTAAAATCTAGTCTGTAGTGCCGTGGAAGTATCCTGCGGAAATATGTCATAAATGTATCTGACTAGTACATCGGCTCCTCTGCGTTCGTTTGTCAAGTAGTTTATGTCCTATCTAACAATTGCCGCTCAGGCTCAGTAGATCCTTTATTAGATGGTGGCCGCCTGGTTGGTGCTAGGATGCGAATGATCTCGGCTACCAGTGGATTCTCATCTGAGTAGTTGATTAGGCAACTCCAACCAAATCTGCTGCTTGGGTGCTCCAATAATCTCCATCATTCACGCACAGTTTCCCAGAACTCTTCGTATAATACCCCTGATGTCCGCCATATTGCCCACCAGTATACATTTTCGCAATGGCATTTACCGTGAAAATCCCCGTGTCCGACAGATCGACAGGCTGAAGAATAGAGGATATACACGTACAGCAACTATTCAACTCCTGGCCTAGCCGCCAACTGAAGCCAGCTGACTACTAATACTAAAAAAAGATTATCCTTTATGGAGCGTAGATGAAGATGGCCCATGTTGGCTTTTACTTCCATAGGATATACTAGACAGAGAAGTGGACTTTGATTACTGGTTCAAGAACCGGCTTATTAAAAATCCAGATATGCACACACCCTACGTACAGGCTAATATCATATGAAACCCTGGGAGAAAAGGAGTCTGTTAACAGTCAACAGCCAACTACGGAGTAGAGAAATGATATAATGATACGAGTATTTTTGAATGTTGGTTACTGATCATTATTTCGGGACTTCCAAGACAGATATACTCCGCACAGTTGAAAGTAGGACGCCCTATTCCCCACTGGGTTGGGCCCTTCCATCGGAGGTTTATGCGACTGCGTCTAGGTCTAAAAGGTATTCGGCACTAAAGAGCGTTACACCACACTTCAGTGCTCGGTGAGAATAATGATTACTGATCGGGCGACCATTGCCGAGGCGAGATTGCCACCGAGCTCCGTCAATGGGCACTTGACCAAAGGGATGTTAGTGCAGTAGAACTCAACAGATTTCGAACTGTCATGGAAGAGGCTCCAGTTGTGTAGAAAGAGTATCTCTCTACAGAGTACCAACGTACCCCTATTTGCGGTCCGCTGGCTGTACCTAAATAAACGGCTGACTAACGATCTCCGCTCTTGTTTCCCACTCCAACAGTTAGAGCAAAGTATCTTGAGTGTTGTGGCAATAGTGCGAAAGAATGCACCAGTCACTGTACTTGCATGACTTATTAATCTCATTGTACCAAATGACTCGATGACTGGTCTAGTTAACTAGTTTATGAAGGCACAAGTGATTACTAGCATGGGGTCGTCATCCCCGCCTTGGCAAGATCTTTGTCGACTGCTCGACTGTCCACCCGGACACGACCACTGCCATAGCAGAAAAGCTGCAACAGCCCGGTGGTCGTTTCGTCGCCAGCCCTGTCTTCGGCGCCCCCACAATGGCCGCTCTGGGCCAGGTAATCCCCGTACTGGCTGGCCCTTACGAGGCTGTCGAGAAGGTCAAACCCTGCACCACCGGGGTTATCGCCAAAGCAATCATCGACTTCAGCGACCAGCCGCCCGCCAAGGCCTCGCAGCTCAAGATCCTCGGCAATACCTTCGTGCTCGGGATGGTGGAGAGCATCGCCGAGGGCCTTGTTGCTGCTGAAAAGTGCGGATTGGGGACTGATGCGCTCCGCCGGTTCTTTGAGGCCGTCTTCCCGGGGCCCTATGTTGCCTATTCAAACCGCATGCGCTCTGAGCCTCTGTTCGCCGTCGACCTCGCCCGCAAAGACGCTCGGCACGCCCTTGACATTGCCAACAACGCAGGTACGACTTTGAAAAGCATCCAGCTTGCAGGCTCGTATCTAGCAGAAGTCCAGGAGCACATGGGCACCCGCGGCGACGTGGCTGGTATCTATGGTGCCGCGCGACAGGAGGCTGGCTTAAAGTTTGAGAATTAGTCCGAGTAGGATGGTTTTATGAGTTGTCAGTCAATAATAACCCGGCACTGAGATTGATATCTCAGTGGTGGGGAGATAGTATCTGAGATAAAGATAGTAAGAAATCTAATAAGGTGGTTGGGCCCGTGACTGTCGAGGGGTATGGCCAACCTGTCCGTCATGTCAGGAGCGAAGGTTTCCCATCGCTATGTCGGCGGATTGAATTATCAGCAGTAGCAAAGAGTACAAGATTACTCACTAGCCATCCACTTACCTCGAACTGAACTGAAAAAACTGGCCCACTGCTTATCAAGCATGTGCCGAGTAGTTGGTCACTCATCTCCAACCAAGAGATCAGACTGTTGATGCTGCCCCCAACTTTGGTTTGTGTCTCCGCGCTGAAAGACGAGCACTTTATCAGACATACTTGTTTAGTTTTAGTTCCTGCAGGATATATGATGCGCTGATAGATTGATATTCAGTTCACTCATTATCAATGAAACAAAGAAGATCAGGAGCCTGGAAGCTATATAGGTCCTGTTCATTAACGACAGTAAAGCACCATAGAATCAATCTGACAATGCCCTTCCCTTACGAAAAAGGTTCTCCATCATCGGAGCAACCTCCTGCATCAGCAATGCAGTGGCTAACAAATTAGTTCAGTACGGTACTCCAGCTAATATTGCAGGAAGACTTGGTGACTTCATTCTGTAAAATGGCCCTGACAAGGCTAATTAAATCTGACCGACGTCATGCAACCTGACAAAGTAAGTCTCTTCACCAGATCCCTCCATGTAGTTGACCCGCTAAATGCCCTAACGCGGCAGATTGTGTTACATTCAGGCAACCTCTCATGACATAAATGGATCAATATTCTATTGGGCTGCTAGATGGCTAGGCAGCCATGCCAATCTGGGCTTCCGAGCCGACGGGGGGCAGGCCACCGGTGGCAAGATCTGCGTCGTAAGGATTAACATTGCCGTTTCGGTACCATATCGACCTTCCAGTTGCGTATGTTGGATATGCTGTCAGGCCAAGTTGCGAGCACACGGTCCTAAAGTCTTCGCCTGCGCCAGGCAGGTATTGACCTCCTCTCTACCCTAGGATTAGTAGGATGCCGTCCCTTAGGCATGAATCATTATAATGTTAGGGTGTAGGGTCCTTGATGTATATTAATCCGGTTTTCAAGGCCTCCCATCACTCCAGAGTAGACAGTTCCTCCAAGGCTCTTTAGATGAAAGCACCCCATAGACCAACTTATAAGTACTGTATCACTTGCCAGTAAGTTTGGATTTTCTAGTCATCTAACTGCCATTCTTGTAACAGACGTTGAACTATGTTCGGCAAAGGACACTTTAAAATCATCTGGCATTCAAAAGAATACCAATGCTCAAAAGAACCGCGAAGATCCGAAGATGACTCTCTGAGGAAAGCAATCAGGATAAATGCAGACAATGTCAACGGGAACTTAACATGGTTAAAGCAGGTGCAAGCAACAGAGAGTAGTAATTAAAGAAATTAGGGCTTACCTAAGCAGAGAGGAACCAATTTTAGGAAAGGCAAAGCTTTGTGAACAAAACCTCCAGGCTATTAAAGCAGATGTCAAGAAGTTTGATGATGGTCTAATAGAATGCGATGCGACAGAAGGCCAGACCACCCTAAGAATGAGACGCTATCCATACAATAGCAAAGCACAGGGACAGGTCACATTTGCCAGACAGAACTGGTTAAGGATCCTAAAGAACACACAAACAAGCGTAAGGAGAAGGCCACCACAAGCATAGAGCACCCCTAGAATAGATTCTGTGGAATTACGGAACCTTACAGGGAAAATAATCAGCTCTGCTTGTTGGAACTAGTTGTCCCCCGCTTTTATCTCAGTTTTGAGCATTTACTACCTCAATACACACAGGTAGGTAATATTAGGGGCCTTCTCGTAACCTGTGACTTTATCTAGCACAAACATAGAATATATCTTTCAATAATAGGAGATGCTAACGAACCTGGAACAACATCATGAACGATGCCTCTCCTTCATCTTGTTACTCCTCCTCAAATTGCGGAACTTCATACCATTGGGAGTGAGAAAAGTCAGCATAGTCCAAAGCTCCAATGTCTGTTAAAAGACGACAAACTGTCAGGCGACACTCCGATGTGGAGAGTGCCACATTCATTTGGGAGTGCAATTCAATCGGTGCAGATCTTTTTAAGTTTGAAAAACCCTTCCGTTTGCAATCGAGCAGGCAGGCGCGTGGACCATAGCTGGAGAGGGTGTGGCGTGAGGTTAAATAAGATAATTGAAGGCTCCTTTTGGAGGACCAGTGCGGGGTCAACCTTAGAGAGTACAGGCTTCTTTTTGACATCTTTGCCAGTTATTATCGTCGTGCCGCGGTTTTGGAACTTATTGGATACCAGAGATCACCGGCTAACCCCTTACAGGGCCTTGGCTACCGTCTTATGAAGAGATATACACAATGACCAATAGCCTTTTTCGGTGACGATGCCTATCAACCGCGAATGGTCGACCCATGGGACGAAATTCACAAAATAGCCCCACCCCCAGTAACTTTAATCACACACCCGCAATCCTGTACGCCTCCCAGCCCTGCCCCGAATCATGCCACCGACCAGCCACAATCGGATCAACTCAAATTTCTCACCTTGACTGTAACTTTGATGAGCCAGAGATGTTTCTTTAGAACTGACGCGATGCTGTGCATTATTAACTGAAAACGGCAGCTTCAGAATAGAGATTGTCTGCATTAGGTCATGTATGCGTCGTTCACCATAATCAGCATTAGTAGTTTGTATATTGTGCCGTATAAGTCCTCTATTCCTAGACACCTCTCGGCGCAGAATATAAAGGATTTCAATAGGTATTCAACATCTTCAAAACATATTCGCTTCTCTTGCACCCTAAACCCTATACGTTAATGGTGGTAAGCACAAATCATCATTGCAAACATGTGTCCGTTCCTGACTTTGACGTAGATATCTGTTCACCATGAAGCTCAGCGTAGTGACCACGACTCAGCTTTTAATGGGGGCGTTGGCTTTCCATTTTGAGCCACAGAAGATATTCGCGAGTTCAACCAGCAGCTGCGGTTGTTACTGTGCTATTTCCGACATGGGAGGAGGCAAACCGCCTTGCGAAGCTTATTTTTCAGAAGCTGCTTCACCAAACGATTGTGAGAAGACTTGTAATGCTTATTCCGCGCGGACTGGTTTCCCAGGCTATATTTGTTTCAAAGGAGGCGATTTCGCGGCTTGTGGTGGAGGGCCATCCAATTGCAATAATATTCCTTGCAATTTCGCTGCTAAACGCTGATTTTCTCAAATCGTTAAAGTGGCTCATTGCTGTCTTTATGTTCGCTTACGCTTATTTCTGAAATTATAGATGCAAAAGTCCAAATTACTTTTCATAAACTGTACTATATGGTTTCGCCTTGATGGTGAACTCACATTACTTTTGACAGCCTTATACGCGGCTACTATTTTATACATTTCATATGTGTTACGGATTCCCTCCACAGGAGGGGTTGAGGTGTGAGGTACTTTCTAATCCTCGCCTATGCGATAGGACGTGTGCAACAGATTAGATGCAGTAGAGGTAGGCTGTATAGGTGGTGTATTCTATAGCTGTGCGCTGGGGACCCCTATAATTTAGTAGTGATAGTAGGGGCTGTTCTTCATAAACCAGCATTAGGCGCTGACCTGCCAGGGCAGGGGTAGGTGGATGCTGGAATGGTCCTGGTGGTTAGAGTTGCATAACCGAACCGCTAAAATCGAATCCGACCCTCACCGAACTCGCAGCGGTGAGGGTTTGGTTCCTAGCCTAGGGAATCGCACTGGTTTCAGTTTCCATAGGGTGAACCGATTCGAGTTCGGTTAGAACCGTCGGTATCGATTTTGAGGTTTTATCGGATTAGATTAACCAAACCTCACTGTTTTGCCTAGTACTGTTTTGCTTAATAATCACAAATTTCTAGGATTTCTCTAAAAAATATTAATATCACTAGATAGCCTAGTATCTAGTCTATCTAAATATGAAATATCAATTCAAAATATCTAGTGGCTGGTGAGATATAAGGGAATCATAATTTCTGTCATAGGTTAGCATGAAAGTAGTGGTGGTTTATATATGAGTATAACCAACCCTTGATAACTACTATATTTAAAAATAATTTTAACCACCACCTATTCAGCCCTATAGATATTGAATTAATATTTTAGATATAGATTAAAATGACTATAGTTACCATATATTTCATATAAAAATATTAATTTTATATAAGCATGTTTGATAGGTGCCTAATATAGGAGAAATTAAATTCTAAAAACCATTAAAATTAATCTATTCAGGCTATATAAATTCAAACTAAACTGAACTGAATCTAACTATAGTTAGTTAGTAGTGGCCTGGCTAGGCCTATCTAGGCCTAGTAGTGGTTTTCTACGGTTAAGCTCAAACTAAATTAGAATGGATCAGGTTTGGTTCCAATTTCTAGAATTTGCACTTGAAATCACAGCGGTTCGGTTCCAACTAGGTTTGAACTCACCCGAACTTGGACCGAATGCAACTCTAATAAAAGAAGCTGTAGAGAAGGAAGAAGAATCTCTAATAATATCTTTTTAGAATAAGATTATCCTTCTAGTAGGGCAGTAGAATACTAATAATAATCTTCTAGACCTTTAAGGTAGAGATAAAGGCTAAGATAGAATATAATATTCTATTAAAGAAGCTAATAAAGCTAAGGAAGTTTAGCTTAACTAGATTAATCTTAGTTATTAGATAATTATTAATAAATAATATGTAATTATAAGTTTATTTTATTATTTATCTATTTCTTAAGTACTTTTAGCTTTTATTAAAATTAAATAGGTATTCTTCTTTCTATCTTACTATTCTCATAATACTAGATAACTTATCCTTCTCTAATTACTCCTAATAACTTAATAAGCTAGAATTACTACTATAAATAGTCTTTTAAAGTTTATATCTTTCTCACTAGTATCTCTTT